GAGGTTTCTTCCGTTCAAGGGAGTTTTTCCTCCCCACTGTCGCTAAGTACTTGCTCAAGGGGGATTTGTTGGGTTTTCCCTATGTAATAATAGTGATAACAGTAAGGTCTAGACCTTACTTTGTAAAGTGTCCTGAGATGACTTTTGTTGTGATTTGGCACTATACAAATAAAATTTGATTTGATTTGATTTACTACACAATTTTATCTGCCAGCAACAACTGACCAGGACTGGGCTCGACTCAATCCAACTGAGTCTAATCAGCCACATCATCATCACGTGATGAAAATGAAATGAGACATTGAAAATGCTCGTCATGTGACAATGACTATAACTAAATGTATAATGCAATATTGTTGACGAAAAAAACGAGACTAAATGTGGTTTATAAAATAACTATACTAAAATGTCTCTTCATTTTCGTTGACCAAAACGAGACAAAACGAAATGTTATAACATTATTTCGTCTCATTTAGTCGCGTTATTATTATTATTTTGCAGTATTTCTGTTTCCTGTGTCTCGCTTCAGGGGCCGCATGAGCTCGCACTGCGCAGACGCAGGTGACATCACTTCCTTAAGCCCCACTTGTGGCATTATTTAGAATAAACAAAGTTAAGTCTGACACAGAGAAAGGGACCGATGGCCGGCCAGCCGGGGTTTGTCTATGGGAGAAAAAGAAGAAATGACATTTGGAAAAACTTTCATTACATAAAAATGGAAAAGAAAATGGAATGTGTTGTGGAAAAAGATGGGGAGAAATGCAGCCACAAAATCACACAAAATATGTGTTGGATGTATTCTTGAGTCCATAAGGTAACAATAATATAATAAGATAACCTTGTTTGAAATGGGTTTGGCTAAAAGAAAATTTTGGTTTTGTCTATACTGCTAGGCAGTGACGTGCGGTGAGGTTGACAGCTGGTGAGGCACTGACTCTTTTACAGTCAGATTTACAAATACAAATGAACCATTAACAAATTGTCTGTTAACAGACAATGCGTTATGTTTTATATCTCATATCAGCATTCTTCACACAAACTTGACCCATATTTAATTTGAGGTTAAAATTTATTCCAGTTGAGCTTCTTTCTAACTAGAAATAATAAAAGTTTATGGTCTTACCTTTACTTGTACACGAAATCCATTTGTCAGCTGGTATGTATTACAAACCCTTTTACCATTCGAATCCAATATTAAAACAAATGTTTTCAATAAAGAAGATCCTTCTGGACAAAAATGTCCAGACTGTCGAAAATGTTTTGATTGAAAGTCCAGATTTGCGAATTTTCTCAGTTTGGAAATGTAATCTTCCATTTTGATAAGGCGGATTGTAAAGGAAATATATAAACAAGCACGAAGAAGATTGTAGGTAGCGCTAGAATCTGTGGGCTCACTAGCGCCCTCTGCCTTGAGGCAGGGGTACTGTTTGCCTCACCGAGTAACTTTATTTTACTGGGTTTTATGGTTAATCTGCGAGCCTAAACACGTTACAGGACTACATTTTACACATTATCCAGATTATGGCAAGGCAGAGCATATAATCAGAGTGTTTGAAAGCATTTGAGCCTAAACACGTTACAGAACTACATTTTATACATTATCCAGATTATGGCAAGGCAGAGCATATAATCAGAGTGTTTGAAAGCATTTTATTTGTGATATATAGAGGGACAGTGACACACTATTTGCATCGCATACAGTTTGTGAGGATTACACGATCCACCGAGAGGCACAGCAAAGTGCTGCCTCATCGCGCATCT